GTCCTATAGATCCTCAATCACTGCTATTACAGGCAAGGCTTCACATGTCGCGGACTTCATTTTCACTTTCTAAAAGAAAGATTTTTGGACATCAAAATAGAAACTCAGTTTACTGACTTACCTTTCTATTTTATCAGGTAGAACTCCGGTACCCATCGCAGAAGCCAATATAGTCGTGGGCGGCAAGAAGACACTGCCGTTCCGAACGGTGCCACGTCGAAATCCAATACTCTCGCGTGTCTGCCGTCGCCCACCTATCGAGCTTTGCTTGATCTATCATCAATGCAAGGAAACGGTAGACGAAGAACGGTTGACTAATCTACTTCTACTATTCATAGTAGACTTACAAATGAATTCATCAACTCCTATGTGAATCCGAATGTTTTTTGCAATTTCGCCTCTACACTGGCTATGGCGAAGCAATCAGCGTTTCGGGGCAGAGCCTTTAACTCTGTGGCAATGGTGATCTTGAAGTCAATAGTGACAGCGAAAGTTCGTTCACTTATTGATCCAAACCCCCCTAAATTCGTCTCCGAAATGCAACTCCCATTTCCACCAATCTCTTCTCGGACAGAACAGTAGAGTGCTCCACAACCGTGTAGTTGACTAGCAGAATATAGAGTTGGCCAAAGCTTGTTCATTGAGAACAACTCTAGTGAAACTAGTCTAGCCAGTTTTCGGCCATGAATTGAACACAAATGAGTGAGCTTTCCATTCAGATTGCTTTGTCACAAGGATCAGGACCGCTGCGTTCCAATAATAAAAGTTATAGCTGCAGCTTAGGTGCATTTGCTCCACTTGAAATGATTCACTTACAAGAAAGATTCTTTCAATCCAGATCTATTTACTTCAGCTTTCCACGTTCCAATAAGTTGTAAAAGACTTGAGATACGGTAGCTATAGGTAGGAATAATTCCTTTTTTGAGAGAGCTATAGAAGACTTTATTCATGACAATACATATTGATGAGCTAATGCTAGCTCTGAATCCTCTCAGATGGCAAGCCAAATCTACCATGTTCCGGTCCAAGCTCATGCCGAGAATGGATTTCTTGTGGAACAAGCCTGATTTCGCTTCTGATTTCGATGTTTTTGACGTAAGACAATGATAGGTTGCCGAAGACAGCGACGTCGTCTTCAAGTTCGTTCCCTCATGTTCACCACGGGGTACGTTAGGTTCAAGGCTTCAACTTCTTCATCTAGTGTTTGCTCTGCCTTTCTAGAAAAGTTAAAGTGGAAAGCGGCAGGCAGATTAGTACTTGTTATAATGCTGAAAATAGAAACCAATTACCACGACTTTTACCGTATAGGTCTATGTCATTAGGGAGGCGTGAATTGAGGAAGAAATTAGTTCAAAAAAAAAAACGAAAGCAGCTAATGTGATGCGCAAGAATACTTCTACTTGCCCATAGGTTTTTTAAGGAGTAGTGAGCACAAAAAGAAGTCAAGGTGCCAGAGCCAAAGTTTTCTAATCCACTGGTTCTCTTATGACAGACCCAATTCAAATCAACTGGAATCCTTTCCAAAGAAATTTTTAGCCATTACTTGAACTGTTCCCGAGTTGTTCTCCTGACTAAGCAGGCCTGAAAGGTAAAAATGGATACAGAGATTATACACAGAATTCACCTCTGTGAAATATCCAGCACCCCCATAGTCCGTCTTCCTCCTGAATACTTCGACTTTTTCTATATCCATCTAGGAGAGAATTAGGATGGCGTTTAGTCCTCAGAGTTCTTTTGAGGGCTGATTAATCCCGTCTGAGCGATGCGCCCCACATTCGACCCCTATACAGAATCGTAGTGGGCTATTGAATGTGTATTTGGCCGACACTATAGATTGCGGTGACCAGTACACCATGTACAAACCACTGCTTCGATCTTCCTAGTCGAGTCTGGTACCAATCACCCGATCCCGGGAGAATGGATCTGTTGGGTTGGGTTGTACCGATATCGGTACCTTCGTCCAGCATGATATTCGATGATACTTCAAATTCACTTTCTTTGTTATAAGTTAAACTCTTGAAAGGAGACATGCTATTGCATATAACCACGGCTGCTTTGTTGGTTGTCTGCAAGAGCGACTAAATATCAAACGGTAATTGAGGGCAAAGCTCCAGATGTTCAGCAGTAGTCAGAAAGAATAACGCATGAGAGAGGAGCAATTACTGGTTTTCCTGTAACTAAAGGTAAACATTGAAAGGTGCAAAGTATGCCGTCCAAGTGGATGGCAGGAAATGACGATTACCCACCCTAAGTCACTGAATGCATCAAAGATGTCGTGGATTACGGTAACCTTTTAATCTCCACGACATTTAGCTTCAGCGAACTAATCCAGTTATGTACTTAGTATGTTGAGTCAGTCAGCTGAGTCATCTGACCCTAACGACGTTGCTGTGATGTTCTGAGCTTCCCACTCTCAAAAAGGCACTTTCAAGAGGATTTTCAAACGAATGCCAGCAGATGGCAAGGTCACTTTGAGAACTCGATTTAACGGTTGCAGGGGTGGTGCAGTGCCAAGTAGCGTACTATCATTGATCCGGGGATCAGTGCCGGATTGAAACTGTTTAAGCCTACCAGGCCTCCCTTTCGGGATCGATTATTTAGTACAAACTCGACTGGGAGGATAAAAACACTGGCTGACCACTGCAAGTCATAATTAGGCCATCTAAGAACTCAGTAGTACGATTTTGAATAGTAGTCGAGTACGGGGCGCCGCCCAGAACGGGTTGCTCAACGCCTGAGGTTCTTGTTCTTCGGGATCTACCAGGATGTCCCAAAATTGTCAGCGCCGAATTTCAAAGTTTTCAGGCGAAAGTTATCCAATAATTACACTTCATTCGTTACTGATCAATTGTGCAGTTAGGTTTTCCTGCATAGTTACCGGGAAAAACTACTAATATCTTTAGAATGGTGAAGCCTCATTCAATACAAAGTGCCGCAATTCGCAGGTGAGGCTTGAACGGCACAAAGGACATCTTTTTTCTCGTTATAGCAAAAATGAGCGTATGGAACTGGTGGAAAGGAGTGTTTCCAGTCATAGGATCAGTAAAACAGTTCTCAAGCCGATCGTGATCCTCAGTTAATCATCAGAAGTTTGGCAAGGACATATCGAGTTCGTTGATGGAGAGGATTGTCGACAAGAAGTTTCAATGTCAGTTCTACTGCATGTAGAATCGTTACTTCACTTCCTATAGCATAAGTTCAATTGCTCCGCTTAAGTGGAGAGAAACTCCCCTCTCTCGCTCTCTCTGCACCGTTAGTTTCGTCGGCATCGGCGTGAACGTCCCCAGAGTCGTGTATTAAAGAGCATACTGA